TCTCACATATAACTGACCGAAAATAAACAACTTAAAATTTATTCTATTTTTGAATATTCTTACAATAAATAATTATATTATTTCAAATTTATCCTTATATATTAATATTTTAAAAGTTAAAACTTATTACAACATTTCATTGTTCAATAACAGTAACATATTTAAACTAGATCTCCACTCAAACTAAGCACGAGTAGAAAAGACGTCTGACTGCAGAATTTTCATAATCCTCATATATATTCATAGTTATTTTTTAAAATCTAATTTATCTCTTATTAATAAATGAAGTTGGACATTGATTGATAACGAATATCAATTGCATATCCCTTTATTAGAACATTATTGTTCTTTTTATTTTGTATATATAAACCTTCGAGACTCTTTCATGGATAAAGTTAATTTATACAAAACGATAATTAACGTGTATATGCATATAAGATACGAGATATCAATGGTCACTAAAATACTAAGTCATTTATAACTATATAAAGAACTTACCAGCTGTTAATTACCATTTGTTTTTGTTCTTGCATCTTCCATAGGGAGTCAAAGAAAAATGAATTTCAGATGTGCCCTACGCACATTCTCACGAGTTTGACTAGCTTTTTTGTGGGATGTGGGTGAATCTCTTCTTTCTGACCTCATCCAAACTCACCCACACCAAAATCAGTTTTTTCAGTGTAGAAACTCTCAGCTACAGCTGATAGTTTGATGTAAGAAACCTCACAAGCATTTGTCTCATTACCATTTTGATGTAGATAAACATATATGACAAGTTAATCTAAGAAGACAATGAATTTATAAACTGTTCATTGATTGAAATATATAATTTTGTAGAATGCATCAATCTAGTCCAATGTTATTTTCCTATCGTACTAATCTTCAATGACTAATTTCATCTTACATTTCATTGAGAAGAATTTTTTCATAACTGCTTTATGTGTTTTTTTTATCTGAATAGATTCAATACAAAATTTATCGTTTCAATGGAATAATATTCATCATATTAGATGATTATGATTTTAATTTTGTAACATTCTTTATATTCCTAAAGGTATTTATATTGACAATCTTATGTTTGAAAAGTATCCTGTTTTGAAATTTTGTTGTCTCATATCCTACTTGCTTGGATACATTTTTCGACGATTTTTGCAGCTTTAATTAAAATTATCTTAGTGTTCTTTTTAAAATTCAATAGAAGATGCTAGATAAATGAATATTATTCCATTGAAATGATAAGTCTCGTATAAAACACTTGTAGAGGTGAAAGACATACTGATGTTATGAGAAAGAATTTTTCTCAAAAATATAAGATGAAATTATTCACTCAAAATTGATAGCATGAATGCGATAGAGAAAAAGATATCTTTTGTAGAACTTTAAAAGATCTATGAAAAAAGAAATAGAGGAGGCAGATCAAACAAATTGATTCAGTCATCTATAGATAATCAGATCAAAGTGAAAGTTTTGTAAATCTCCTAATTTTCTTCTTAACTGATGATTTACTTCGAAAATATTGATATCAAATGCTATCAAAATTTGATGCTTTTCTTTAACCAAAAATTAATTGACTAAAGGCAATAGTTCCTTGAAAAGAGCAACAACAATTATATTCGATATGAAAAGAAAAAGGCATGCATAGTCTGTGAAACCATGAGTCTTCTTTAAAAGACAACAGTTGACGAAATTAACTTTATCATTCATTGGACTTATCTCAATGTACGAGGAAACAGTAGTTAAGAAAAAACACATTTTTTTTAATGAGCGCATAAGTAAATTTATAAAAATCATCACTTTTCAGAAGAATTTGAACAGTTTGTTCAAGATTGTTATGGATAAATTTACTAACAATCAAAAAATTTGCGTATAAATACAACATTGTATGGAAATAACTATTAAGGCTAATGATTCAAATGTTTCTTTGACTAGCAAATACTTCAGTAGGAGTTAACAGACATGTTTTTTTTTTGTTTTGTTTTCAATGCATAGTTTTTAAAAAAATCAATGACATAACTATTAACTACTTCTACCAGGGTTCTGCAAGATTCCAGCATTATCATTTTACAGATCGTAACCTTGCAAAATTCTCTTCTATTTTTGAATGACTTTTTGAAATATTTATATTCCAAATATCCAAACACAAAGATTGCTTTTTTTGGCAAAAAATATAAGATTTTCTTAAGGTTAATTAACGAATAGAGTGAGTATTTGTGATACAAGTTAATTCTAATTTTATCTGAATTTTCAATTATTCAAGAGAAATATATTTATTTAAGATTAGAAGATTTAACTGATAATATCTTAAAAATCAGATAATCTAATATTACAATAAAATCGAATGATCGAGTTTATGATCCTGATGATTTTTAAAAGTAGATATCAATGACAATTATTAGCTAGAAAAATGTGAATGAGATTGATTGATCTATTCAGAAGAGACAGACAATAAACTGTAACTGTGGAAAAATATTTTCTTAATCTAGAAGATTTGCAACGACTTGCTTGTTGAAACAAAACGCAAACTAAATTGATAATTGTCCCAAAATAAAAAAAAAAAAAGAAACACTTCTCCAGAAGAAAAAGTGAAGAATACAACGAATTCCTAGACAATAGAATGTATGGCTTTGTAGATGAACCGAAAACTCACACCTTATTGTATGTATTTCTGTTTAAATTAAATTTTACGAGAAAAAGTTTCTTCATTTTGTATCGTCACATGTATTCAAAGTTTACTGTGTCAACAACAAAAAAAATATTTGAAACAAAGTTAAATAAGTTAGAACACAAAATTTAAATCACGAAAGTAGATTGTGAGAAAAAAAGTTTTGAAGCTAATCGTCTCTCCTATTTTCAGTAATGAAAATAGAACAGGATTCAACATCATACTATTCATTGAAACAACAACTTCTTCCATAAACAGATATTAGTAATTTTGAAAAAATGAATAAATATAGATAGGCATATGAAAAAAAAAATGATTAGCTAAGATATAATCATTTTTGTAAAGTTGTGATGTTATATGTGATTATCAAACGATGTTCGATGGAATATTTTGCAAAGCGATCAATTTACATTTATAAACATTTACCAAAAATCCAGAAATAAATTTTAAAAAAGTTAAATAAATTTAAAATAAAATTAAAATATGTTTGAAGTATTCTAGAATGTGTTTACAAGCCTTTTAGTATCTTTAGAATGTAACAGGAACATGGTACGATCATTTTCTTAAAGAATATTCTTTAGTGATGATCGAATTTTCGTTATTTATGATGTATTTTTTTCTGAAGTCATGCATTTTGATGATTGTATTGTTGAGTTTTAACTTATGCTTTTCATTAAAAAAATTCTCAGAAATTTAAAATCTAAAATAATTTTACAGGATAATACCACGCTTGTCAGGTACCGAACTGAGCTCGAACCTGTGGAAGTTGATTTGATTCCTTTTCTGATAGTTATCGTTAAATACTGTCAATGATGAATTGCTTTTTACATTAAAATATTCAATTTTTTTCTTTATTATGAAATTTTTTTTGTATTGATAATAAAATAATAAAAAATACGAATAATAAATCAAGAAAAAAGAATTGTTATTTGAATAAAAAGAAACAATGGTGTAGTGCGAGACTTTTTGAATTTATCATTGTCAATGGATTTTCAGAAAACAGTTCGATAGGATGAAGTATGGTAGCTGCTTTTACATATAATCTACTAAACCAAAACGATTCAAAGATTGTAGATGTGGTTAAGCAGAATATCAACATTTATACTCACATTCTTCTTGATATTATTAAAAGTACTGGTTATAAATGCAAGTTTTAATCCAGATTTGTACAACTTTTTCTTAAACTCTAACGACATGGTTTAAAAAAGTTTTCGTTAAAACTTCAATGGCTAAAATATGTTTAATGGATACATGTAATCGACTTATTTACTAGTTAAATCAATGATTGAAATCATAATAAAACATACGATACGAAATATAAATCAATAAGTCAAACAGAAATTAGAGCACCAAATAAATGACAATCTATTCTGATTGGTTTTAGAAAATTTAGATATGATTGTTATAGTAGAGACCAATTCTAGTAAAAAGAAAAAAAGTAGATAAATTAATTCTTGTTGTTATGTTTCCATTTTATGAATTGATATTTTTAGTCTTTCTTGAGGGTGTGGGTATGGATGACAGAGAAAGAGAGGGTATATGATTCATCAACATATTCAAACAACATCTACATCCACACCGTATTTTGAATGTGTTCAAGTAAATCAGCATATAATTTTTCTAGATTCGATTCATTTATGAATGCTTGTTCAAATTAACGTCAATGTTCAATATTCGTTAACTAAAATAAATAAAATAGATTTTGCTTTTTTGTTGATACAATTGATATTTGCAGGTTTTCTTTTAATATACCTGCAGATACTATTTTCGATCAGCAATAAGAAATAAACGATTGTCTGATTCTTCAAAACGAGCACTGAAACGTGATGACATGAATAAAAACCTAAAAAAGTAAAAGATATACTATATTACCTGTGAAAATTCATTTTGACATTTCATGGCGAAATTTATTGATTTTGTATTGAACGTCATTCCTTCGGATTGCAACAAAGAGTTTTTGTTTTTCATTAATGTTTTACTATTTATCTTTTCCAAATAAATTTTAATCGTATGTGTAAGTCTTGATAATTTTTAAAAAGAAAACTAGGAAGAATATTTAACCATTGGCAGAAAAAAAAATAGTTCATCCAACAGCCCAAATACGACTTCATTCTATTTTACTCATGAAGAGGGTGTGGGTGTGGGTATCATTATAGGTCTTGTCTTCATCCACACCCATACCCTGTGATAGACATGCACTTAACATAAGACAAGTTAACCCCCATATAGCAGTATATAGTGATTTTTCTTTGTGCAATATTTGTCATTGATAATAAAGTCTATTCATTAATTTTAGCTGAATAACGTGCATTAATTAAAGCACGAAAAAAAAAAACTAATGTGTGCAAGTAATAATGATAAAGGACGTAATAAAAGTAAAGCTTCATATGGTAATGTTGATGATTGTTTTGTACGTGCATATAATTCTTCAACAAGTTCAATAAGAATATTATCTGATGATGATATTATTGATGAACTATCAATTATTGTTTGTTCTTTATTAACATGTTCATTATTTAATGGATTTTGTATTTTTATTTGGTCGTTGTAATAATGTATAAATACGTGAAAGTATTAACACTATATATCATTTTTGGGATATTGACCAACTATTAAAAGTTTTTCAAGACTAATTGATATAATTTTTTGTGTTAAATTATCATCTTTAATTAATGATAATCAAATATCATATGAATTTAAATCAACTTCATGAATTTCAAGTAAAAATAAACATGATGCATATGCATGAGTTTTAGTTATTAATTTATAATTACGTTCAATTAAATGTATATATAATTCATTATATTCTTTTGTTGTTTGTCCAAGTAATATACTAGATTTACATAAATTATAACTTATTAAGGATATCATTAAATCATCTTCATCAAACCATGTACAAAAATATTCATCATATAAATTTGATAAATATTATGATAATGGAAATAAATCAGATAGATATATAATTGAACCTATTAATTCATATTACATATATTTCAATTAGAATTTGTAATGATAATGTTAAATCAAAACCATGATGAAAAAAAATCGATCAAATAAATTCTAAATTATATATTTTTAAAGATGGATGCCAAAAAAGAAAATGTCCATACTCTAACTTTCTGATTGATAGAATTTATTTGAAACTATTGATATAAGCTTTTATCTCTATGAAATACGATAGTTTGCATGTATTATATATCAAATCAAAGTCAGAGAAACACTAGATTTTCTCTTTGATGGAATTAATAATTTAGCAATGAATTTATCTTTCTCTTAACTTAGAGTTCTATTTGTCGATTATTAAAACATATGTCAGACTTACATTAACTGATAATGGTACTGTATTATTACTTTGGATTGATATTAATATAGTATCATATGAAAATTGTCCATAGGATAATAAATCACGTGTACCTAACCGTTCAATATTTGTAAATAAATTATTTGAACTTGTATCTAATATTGATAAAAAAGAACAGATAAAATCTAGTTTATTTTTCAATCTTATTACCATTGTGTTGCATTTGTTTCTAAAGTTTCTTCTTTTTTTTTACAATTATTTGTTGTTTGTTTATTTTCATCATTAGATTGATTTGTGGTGAATTAATTGAAGCTAAAAATGAAGCCTATATTTCTTGAAATTGTATTCTTAATAATCAACCAACTCCAAAATTGTCTTTATATAAATATTGGTAAACAAAATAATAATATAGCTATACAATGTAAATCATGTCAATAAATATATGATATATATATATATATATATATATATATTTAATTTTTTTTTGTTAAATAATAAAGATGATCTTTTATCTGGTTCAATTAAATTTAAATATGATTATAATATATTTGATATAGTTAAACCATTTTGTTGATAAATATATTCAAATATTGATAATAGTGTTTTCGATAATGTACAACATGATATTATTTGATCTGTTTTACAACTAAATGATGTTTTCTTTTTTGAAATATATTTATATAAATTATTTCTGATATAAATATTATAAAACGTAATAAATCATGTATATCACCTGTTGAAAATTGACATGTTAATTCAACATGATTTTGTATTTTATCAAAATATATTGATAGAGAATCTATGAATGCAATTGAATATGGTTGATTATTAGAAGCATGATAAAAGACTTTTTTCATAAATTGTATTAGATGTTGTTTCAATGTCATTTTAATTTGTTTCATTTGATATAACTATACAAAATCCTAGGAAAACAAACAAAGAACAGATTTATATTGTTTCTTATTGTCTCAAATCAATTTTCATTTACTATAAAAATCATCCTAAAAATTTAATTCTGTGGAAAAAATCCAATTCGTTTTCGGAATTCACCAGTTCAAACTTATAGAAAGTTTATCGAAATTCTCGAATGCAATTTATTTCGAAATATAATATTAGAAAGACGTCGTTTTCTTTAATTGTAATAGTACAAATAGCACGACTGAGAATTTGATCAATAAGATTCGAGAGAAATTATTCGGTCATTGTACTAATGTAGCTTAAATGCTTTTCTTTACGATTTGTATTACCTGAAATTCTGCATATTTTCTATTTCAAAATATTTTTCGAAATTTTGAATTATTCAAAAGCCTCATCTATTACTAGCACATAAACAATGTCAAAGTAAAGAAAAAAACATTTCTTTTAATTGGATTAAGATTTTTATTATACATATATATATTTATTTCGATAAATTAAACTAAAACATACCGGTGACATCATAAATGGTAATGATTTTGGATAAGTTATATTTTTCAGCATTTCTGCATCAATTTTTCTTGTTATATTCATATGACAATTAAGATTATTAAAATCTTCTTTAATAATATCAATTGATGTTGTTATTGATAATATTTATAAAATTTATGGTATATATTTAGGTCATTATTATTTATTTAATGTTTGTTGGTCAAGTGTTAACATCATTTCAATACAATCATAAACAATTAATTCAGCTAAACGTAATACAGATGTATATGGTAATGGAAGGAATTGTTCAACTAATAAAACTAATAGAAGGCCACTTTCATCTAAATGTATTCCTTCACGAAAAAATAAATGACTTGCAACTGATGTATGATGTATAAGATCAAATAAAAAAAAATAATAATAATTGATAATGTGTTGTTATTGATGTAAAATGTTCAACACATAATTCATGATGACATATTAAATCACAATAAGATTGTAATTGACCACTTATAGATAAATGTATTCTTGATGATGATGATGTTAATATCGGTGATTACCATGCTTCTTATGTATAATCAAGCATATTAAGAATACGTGTCCATCGTAATAATAATGAGATATAAAATGATGATCATAATAATTTAAAACATTCACGTAAAATAGTTAAATATGAAAATGTATCAAGACGATGTACAGTTTCATCATGAATTCATAATTGACGAAAATCATTTACAATTGTTCGAAATTGTTTAACTAAAATAAACTCATAGATCTTATCAGAGATGGAACCGGTACCGGTACGGATTTCAGACCGGCCGGTCTACTGGTAGACCGGTCGATTACCAGTAGACCGGTCGTGGCCGGTAGACCGGTCTATCTTTTTTCTTTTCTGGTTTTATTGCATAAACTAGTTAAATCTGCGAAATCTTGATGCTATCTTGTACAGAATCCATATGAAAATTTCGGTGGAAGTCGATTGCCTGAACTATCACTATCGAAAAGATAGAATTTATATTGGTAAAAATTGTGTACCGGCCGGTCTACCGGTAGACCGGTCAATTGTCGGTAGACCGGCCGGTCCGGTCCGGTCTGACCTGTTTGGACCGGTACCGGTACCGGTATTCAAAAATCCAGACCGGTTCCATCTCTGGATCTTATATAAGCATAGGAATTTTACAGTCAAATGTTTTTCGCTAGCTCATTAGTAATTAATGAATTGCAGAAAAGTTTTATCTTCAAATTAATGGGTGATATGTTACTATCATATAGATTATGATGAAATCTTAAGCTCTTTTGACTTTGATAGAAACCAGTTTTTATCTGTTCAGTTAGTCCATAATATACATACGTGCATAAAGATAATCAGATGCAAGAGAAATTAATGTCATATTGATTCGACCACGTAATTGTCGAGTATTAGTTAAAATTCGAAGAAGAGTTCTGAAAACAAAAACGAGAATAATAGTTTTCAAATTATAAATAAAATCATTTCGAATACTTACGCACTAAAAGTTTCATCTCGTGTTCCATTAACTGATGATAAAACATCATTCTATCGTGTTAATATAGCATCTTCAGTTAAATTTTGTACAGAACATCGAAGTATTATATTTATATTGATTAACTATCAATTTGTAGATTGACAATTGACATTCTAAAAAAAATTTTGAACTACAGGAAAATTTTATAAATAAAAACAACGAACATTTCTATTTACTAATGCGCGAAAAGCAATAACAAATGGATCAATTGATCGTAATGCAAATGATGACACAACATCAAATAGTGTTAATTGTGTGGAATAAATATCCAAAAAGTGATTAATCCTATTTGAACAAAAAAAAGTAACGCAAAATCAGAGACTATTAAAAGAAAAATAACCTGAGATTGTAAATGAGCAAGAAGTACATCGATAATTTGTCGTGAAAGACGTTTTCATTTATCATCTTCAATTTGAACACTATTAACAATAACTGTGAACAATCGTAAAGTCTATAACAATATAAATTCTATTATTATTTTTTCAGTACATACAAATGACATGAAAAGATACTTTTATTTATAATAATTAAGACACCTAGTTTTCCTTCAAACTCAAATACATAACAACAAGATGATTATTTTCAGATCATCAATTCGTTGAAGTGTGGGTGTGGGTTCAATCGAGGAGAAAAATTACATCTACATACCCACACTCACACCCTCTCGAGTTTCTAAGATATTTGAGACCTTATAGAGGGACACCGTTTGTTCACTCTCATTCAATAAAACGTTTTAGGAATTTTAATTATTTGCATAACTCGAACAAGAAAAAAAATCATATAAAACTGGTTCTAATGCTGCCAAAGCTAAATAAAGAATTTTAACGATAATTTCTTTTTCTCGAAAATGTTTCTTTTTTTTGCTTCCTACCATGTGTTTCAGGTTCGTGTCTACTTGCTAATAATGAATCATAATGTTTTATTAAATCTTGTATTTTAATAACTTGTTTTGAATGAAGTGTATCATATGACAACATAACAAGAAATTCAGCAATACAATAAATAAAATGCTATTTAAAAATAAACGAAACGATTAGAAATACAACGAATTTCATCACCATCTAATCAACTATGATGAACACGAATTAAAAGTCATTGAACAAGTACATCGAGTACAGCAGCTTGAAAATCACTTTCATTTGTATTAATATATTTTTTAAGACTAATTTTTTAGTTCAATAGAAACTAAAATAGAAAACAAAAACAACAGAATAGATCAAATTCATTTTATTGTTTATTTTACTCGTATTGCACTATTTTCTATGAATTGATCACTATTTATACTTAATGCATAACGTGAACCAAATAAAATAAATTATCAGTTGTCGAATACTTATTGTATGAATATAAGTTAAAGAATTATTTAATGATACTTGTGAAGAAACATTTGAAGATTTTCTTTCAGCAGACAATGATGAAACGATGGCTAGTTCATGAAGATTTAATACAAACTAAAGTAAAAGAATATTTTTAAATGAATGTTGTGTTAACAGAAAAAATGATTTTCAAATTTCGAATTGATAGCGTGTCTTGCAGATCGGTCACGGAAACTAAATGATTTAATATTCGAATTTCAAGATAGAACCGAATCAAAAGATCTGACACTTTCACAACAAAACTACTCCCGTTAAGATCATCGATATTTGTAAAATCAGTTTTTCTATTACTATGACATTCTTATATTAAAATTTTTCTTCTCTAGGAAAGACCCTTTCAGAAACCTTCATTATAAGATTTCCATCTAAAGTTTTATCCATAGACAAGTTTCAGACACAATACAACATCCTAAAGGTTCTAGCTTAACCAATAAACAAAGAAGATTAATAATTGAAATTTTCTTTACAATAAATATTTACTATTAAAAAGAAGTTACCTCTTGTGTACATTGAATGTTGATTTAAAATAATTAAGTGTTTCTCTTCCAAATTTTTTTGATAAATCTTGTGTAGAAATAAGACTTAAAACTGATTTCATAGACAATAATAATCATTTCTGATGAGTTTAATAAACTTTTATGTATTTGATATGATGAACGTATTAATTCGAATAATTTCATCATCGATGGATTATTTCCCAAAGTACCTAATCGTGTACGATTAACTTTTTTATCTTCGTCTGTATTTGATGTTGTTGATGAATCTTTTTCATTCTATTTAAAAAGAGAAAACAAATGAATTCCTTTAGATAAGACATGATCAAATATATTCTTCAAATCTAAAACTTTGGAACTCTCTTCTTCTGTGAAAACTGAAATATCAACTATATTCTGTCCAAAAGAATGATGATAAAATAGTTCAACTTTTCGAATTACTTGAATCATTTGTGCTACTTTCAAAACATTTTTTCGTTTGCTGAGATTTGATAAATCTTCAAATAAAAAGAAAGAATTAAAAAAAAACATAATAAATATCTTTTTTTTTCTTTTTACTTGAAAAGATTAAATTATTAAGATCATGTAATATAAAGGGATGTTTAAAAAAAAATTATAAATAAACGAAGTTCATCATATTGATTATGAAAAAATTGATCGAATTGTTGTTGGTCTTAAAACATTTGAAAGAACATAAATATCTTTTAAACATCCAACCTATACAAAAGACAAACATGACAAACAATTTGTATTCGAGTTGATGCTTGAGCTTGTAATGAATGATGAATTTTATATATCCATTGACATAGTAAAAATGAATTGTGATCAACAAACCTTAAAATTAAAAAGTAGCTAATAACTAACTTAATTCAATAAAATCGACTTATGCATTCAAATTCGAAAAAAAAACTACCTAGTTAATATCTCTACAAAATGCATACTTAGCAAAAGTCGAAGCAATTGCTTGACGAACACGTATATCAGGGTAGTGCTGTTTTAATTGTTGTTGTTGTTCAAGATAAGTTAATATTCGAAAATCAATATTATCTATAAGTTGAGCTAGAGCAAACTATTTTATATACATACAAAAAAATAATTATTATAATCATAAATTTCTTTTATCTACTTTAGCAAGAGTACAGGAACTTGTGGTATGTTGAATAGAATCTTTTAATAATTTAATTTCTATGATTGTAAATGCATGACTATTAATTAATAAAAAAGGTAATAATGTTCGTAAAGCATTTAGTGAAACATGTATAACACGTGTATTATTATCATTAAGACATATAATCTTGAACTGTCTTGTGAATCAGTTGATATAAGTGAACATTAATTAATAAAAGAATTATTAAATGAATTTGATAATGATGAGTGTTAAAAGATGAATTGTTATTTGAATTAATGTAACAAGTAAATTTGCAGGTGCACCACGTAAATGTAGATCACCATGTTCACATAAAGGTAAAAGATATGTAATATCTTAAAGAAAAGAAAAAAAAAGATACCTTGATGTTCCATGAATTGTAATGTATTTCAAGTCATATAGAGATGAGAATTTCATTTTTCTCATTAGGAAATTTCATATCAATTACAAAACTATATTTAATCAGACATCTTCAAAGACTAATGAAAAATTCCTTAGAGGATACAATTGATTTCATATCTCGAACTTCGGCTTAGAACTTTTTTTGAGGTAGTTATATGATTGTATAATTTCAATCTCTGATGTATCAATGCAGGCTTTGAGCTTCGATAAAGTGTTCTACTTGGTATCTTCTCGAGTCTGATAATGTTCTAGTCTTTTGTTGGTTTCAAAAAAATTAAAAATACGAATAGGACTAGAGCTGCTGAATCAATATTCAGAAATCTCCGTTCTTGAATTTTCAGATTCCAATATATATATATATGTTTCAACAATTTAATAGTGAAATTGTCATATCTATCAGATAACTTTCACTAACACTTTGAGACTTTAACCAATTGAAGCCACGTCAACTAAACTCTGCCACAATCTCCTTCATCTAGGCCCTCCTACTGTTACGACATTAGAAATAATTTTGGATTATAAAAAAAATCTATTTCACTGAACTGAAAGTTTACAAAAAAAAGTCAAACAAGAATTAAACATACTTTCAATAAGGTAATCAAATCGACCAAATTGTTGATAAATACGATAGACATATTGGTATAGCATATTTAACACTAATACATGATTCATCATCACTTTTTATCGTATCATCCATATTGAGTATATATCTAATTGAAAAAAAATATAATTGACTAACAAGTTTAGCAGCTTATCGTTCGTTTTTCATTATTAATCATTGATGTTGAATCGAATTTATCATTCATTTCAATAAATCAACGTTGACATGTTGAATAAGCTATTGTTTTAGAAAAAAAAAACCCAAATAAAAAAACTCGTTTCTTTCTCAATATTTACCTGTTTGTAATGCTTGACTAACACAAGTTTTTTTCTATAGATCCAATTTGAATTGAAATTAATAGTTGATCAAAATCAAATAAATTTGAATATTTAAGTATAATTTCATGTGTTTCCAATGAACTTGATACAACATTATGATCATTATGTTGTAAAAAAATATAACGTACCATATCAACACACTAAAAAAAGGAATCCATGAATGATTCGCCCCGGACACTTGCTCCCGCGACAATTGCTCCCCGGACAATTGCTCTCCAGCGACAATTGCTCCCGCGACATTTGCTCTCATGACATTTGCTCCCCAAGGAAAGTTGCTCCCCAAGGACAATTGCTCCCCGGACACTTGCTCTCCTATGACATTTGCTCCCCGAACACATGCTTTCCAATCACATTTGCTCCCCAATTTCACTTGGCCTTAAGCTACGATTTTTTTGTTGACAAATTCAATATAATTTTTAAAGACTTAAAAATTGGTAAAATTATGAAAAGAATGAGATGATTAGAAATTCGTGCAGAATTTAAGATTCCTGAAAATTCACCAATTAATTTTAAATATATAGCTAATTTTACTGCAGTTTTATCAGAATTTCGAAAGGTGGTAGTATTGATCTATGAATATATGAAGAACATAGAACAAATAAAATAGGAAAAGGGTGTGGGTAGGTGTAAATATAGATCTTTCCTTTATTCACATCCATACCCACACCCTCCGGGTTGGGTCCGGGTTCAACATTTTTTAAACAAGCGCGTCCGGTTCCGGGTACAGGTGTAGCAAATGGTAAATGGGTCCGAGTCCGGGTCCAAAAATCTTGGACCCGAAGGGCTCTAACCTACGCTCACACCCACCTCATACCCATATCCACATCCCACACCCTAGCCACACCCACATCCACGCCCATTATGTTGAATTTGTCAACAAAAAAGCCGTAGCTTAAGGCCAAGTGAAGTGGGGGAGCAAATGTGATTGGAAAGCATGTGTCCGGGTAGCAAATGTGATTGGAAAGCATGTGTTCGGGGAGCAAATGTCATAGGAGAGCAAATGTCATCAGGGAGCAAGTATTCAGGGAGCAATTGCCATAGGAGAGCAAACGTCCGGGGAGCAATTGTCCTTGGGGAGCAACTGTCATTGGGGAGCAAATGTCACGAGAGCAAATGTCGCGGGAGCAATTGTCGTTGGAGAGCAATTGTCCGGGGAGCAATTGTCGCGGGAGCAAGTGTCCGGGGAGCATCATTCGTGTTACCTAAAAAAAGATTTACATTGAAATTAAAATCATTCATTATTTGTTGAATACTGATTGAAAGATGTTGTTGATTTGTATCAATATTTTTACTTCTATTCATTGATTGTTGATTATTGCTTGATTATGATTGAAATTCTTAGATATTTAAACCAAATAATTGAGGGTCGGGATGTGTAGGAATAAGCAATACAAATACTCACACCCACTTCTCAAAATGCCTGAGTCTTCTTAAAGCACATTCGCCATACTTTCTTCGGATGCATCTAACGAAGTTTGAGTGATAAATAGAGTTTTTCATACATCGAACGATAAAATAAAAAATATAAAATTTGTCATTTATTTATTTTGAAGCTTTCAACACTAGGTCTATAATTATCAATTTCAAAAAAAATTTTACGATAGAAAATATTTTTATAGAGATTAGAATAAAGTTCAAAGTCTAATGAATCATCATAACTCAAATTTACGCATATGCAAATATCAGTGTATCAGAGATGGGCAAGTCATTTTTTCTAGTCATTTCAAAAAATCTTCATACATTTTCTCATTTGAAGAGTATGGCTCTAATTTCAATGTGGCT